GTTCTCATGATCTCATGTTCCTGTTATGGATGCTTAGAAATTAGCATTGAGATCTTTCATGATATTTGGACATCTATCACAATATGTCGTATTCACAGCTGTACCTTCAATTTCTTTGACCTAAACCATGTTTTTATTATTTTAATGATTTAAACTTGGTGGTTAAAACTCCCTTTGCCATCTGACACCAGCTTCATGAAATTGTCAAAACGTAATGCTATCATTTTTATTGCAAATCCCCACTGTGACAAAATCCTTGTTATAGTTTCAGACTTTCCTCTTCTGACTGATGAGAAGTTTGATTTTGACCTTTCACTCTCTCCAGCAAGGTAAGTGAAGGGTCTACAGGTAAATATACCTTTAAAACAGACATGTGTAAGGTGTTGGGCTGACTTAGTTTTCTTCGTAGTGGAAATGAAGATGAAGTTTTTGTTGGACCTTTGAGACACAAAGAAAAATGTATTGCTGTCAATATCGAAGCAAAAAAAAGTGCTAAAAAAAAGACTGTGCCTGCTTCTGATGATAAATGCATGTGGAGCCCACTTACAGGAGAGAAATTTGTGGAAATTTTCAAAGAAGCTCATTTGTTAGCACTGCAAATAGAGACTGGAAGCAAGAATCAACAGACTAAAACAAGCCAATCAGAAGAACGGGAAAACAAGATGATAGAAAAATTTGTGCAGGACTCAAAGGCAAAATTGAAAATACTGGGAAAACAAAATATAGAGACAAGTCCTAGGGCTGTTAAAAGGGAGACATACTGTGTGCAGGATAGCCCAGCATGTCAACTGCCGCCTTGTTTTCCGAAGGAATCGGATAAACTTTTGTCAGATGACAAAACACGTGCTCTTCATACTCCTCCAAATAGAAGCCCAGTTAAAATTCATGCATCTCCTACAAAAAGTGCCAATTCACCTCTGACACAAGAACAGAAAACTAAGGAAAGAAATACAAAGGGAACTGGCAAACTGCCAATGGCGAAACCTTCATCTACTCTTGGCAGAAGCAATTTGTTGACTATTGAAAAGGTAAAGACAGCTTCTGAGCAACAACATTTTCTTTAAACATGGCCTTTGTGTGTTTTGGGAATGTTTAAACTGTCTACAAACTTGAATCTTCTGGTGTTTCTCTGGCTCATAAGGTCCTTAGGCAGGAAACATCATTATATATAAAAAAAAGTCAGGGTACTACTATGATATAGTAGCCAACTAGTTCATCTATTATGACAATGTAGAGTATCTGCAGATAAATTTCTTTTCCATTGTATTCTGCTTTTGTGAACACCATGATTCCTGGCTTCTCTTTAAACACTGTTTTGTTGCTGGTAAAATTACTGCACTGTTCTCAGTGACTTAATGTGCAAAAATGACTTTGTTTGCTGTTAACCCATGTGAGTGGAGGTGAGGGAGGGGGTGGGGTGGAAATGAATTATTTTGATAGGACAGAAAAATATTTTAGCTCTAGTTCTGTCCACAACTTCTCGATCCTGAGAAGCACTGATTAAAGATACTACGTTTAGGATGTGGCTATGTAACCAACTGAAAATGTATTCTAGGATAGCAAGGAAATAGTTGTGTTAGTCACCTTGTGTGCAGAAATTCCAGAAGATATTCTGTCAAGAGACTGGGTTTTATTGCTCTGTGCCTTATGGCTTGGGCTCCAGTATATACTGCAGATTTTACTGAAAATGTGTCATTGGCTCCTTGGAAACTATCACCTATAGAAAATAGGGGACCCTTTGATTCCTTTGTGGTATAAGTTTATTTGTGATTTTGGGTGCTATAAGAAGGCATAGTCTTAATGCTTTAACTAGCCAGATGGTACCCTGCTGTCTAAACAGACAGTTTGGATGATGCAGTCTGCTACTGTAGTGTCTCATCTTTTGGAAAGCTAGAGTAAAGCAGAAGAATATGAATTAAATTGAGATTTCATGGTTGTAGGGAACAGCTGTTACAGTATGTAGATGAACGTGATTATGGCATTTGTGCTGACAAATTGTTGCAGAACTGTCCTTAGGTTGATGTCCAATATCTGGGTTCAAGAATGTTCTAGTACTTAGCAAATTACGCTCACTAGGCTAACTTTAAACTGTATTAGTCGAAAGACTCGGGACTTGACTGAGATCAAAGGCTTACCAAAACCATTGTCTTGGTTTCTTAACAAAACTAATTTGTGTAAAAAAAAAACTTTTTAGTGGTTTCTAGAAACACTAGTAGCTTTTAAAATGTCACATTGAAATTTGCAGCCCAAACCAGGAAAACATACTAGCGTTTCTACAAAAAGAGACTCGAACAGTATGGGATCATCTGAAGATGTAATTTCTGATAAATCTAGTGCTGCTTCAGATGTCTTTGAGTCTTTGTTCAGTGGCGGTTTCTCAGTGCAAGACAAAAAAGCCCTTCCTGTGCCAAGTAAGGTAATGGCAAGCATTCTTAAAATAATTTTCGTGATGGTCTGATAAAAAGAAAAAAAACGAATATAGTTTAGTTTCTAATTTAAAGCTATATTGTTGTGAATAATGGCTTTACGGAAAAGTAGTCTCTGTCCTGTAACTGCCGTTCTTGAATATGTATTCTACATCTATAACACAATGAACATACTTCAGAGCAACTATATATGTGTTGGATTAATAAGCATTGTCTTTGTTTTTAAAGCACTGGCTGCAGGCAAGTGATCAGTATTTTTCTGTAAGGAACACTTTTGGATGTGTGTAGTTAACTATACCATTTGAAAAGGTTGCCATAACTTGTATGAAGGTAGAAAGGAGTTGTTCTGAAGCTTTAGGCACCTATTTCTGTGCTGCATGCCACTTCACTGAGTCACAGAATGGTTGATGTTGGAAGGGACCCTGAGGTCATCTGATCCAAGCCCCTGCTCAAGCAGGACCACCTAGAGTTGGTTGCCCAAGACCATGTCCACATGACTTTTGACTGTCTCCAAGGATGGAGACTCCACAGCCTCTCCAGGCAACCTGTGCCAGTGCTCAGTGACCCCACCAGTAAAAAAGTGTTTCCTGATGTTCAGAGGTAGAACCTCCTGTGTTTCAGTCTGTGCCCGTTGCCTCTGGTCCTGTCACTGGGCACCACTGGACACTGTCCTTTCAGATATTTGTATATATATTGATGAGATCCACCTTGAGCCTTCTCTGGGCTGAACAGTCCTAGCTCTCTAAAACTTCCTTGAGATAGGAGATGCTCCAGTCCCTTAATTGTCTTAGCGGCCCTTTGCTGGACTCTTTTCAATAGCTCCAAAACACTCTCGTACTGCGGAGCCTGGAACTGGACACAGATATTCAGGTGTGGCCTCTCCAGTGGTGAGCAGGGGTGGAAGAATCACCTCCCTCAACTTGCTGGCAACACTCCTCCTAATGCAGCGCAGGATACCGTTGCATTCTTTGCAAGGGCACATTGCTGGCTCTTGTTCAGCTTGTCCACCAGCACTCCCAAGGGCCTTTTCTGCAGAACTGCTTTCCAGCTGGTTGATGCCCGTCATCTGCTGGTGCCTGGGGTTACTCCTTTGATTCTTTAATCTCTTTAAGTCCATACTCAAGTTTGTGGCAGCAATAAAAATAAGTCCACCTCCTAGATCTGATGTTCCAGTTCTGTATAATAACACAGATATAAGGAACTGTTTCTAAGAAAATTCACTTTTTAAACTGTAATCTGAGGAAGGCACTTCTCTAAAATTCACAAATAAAAAGCTATAATACCAAGAAAAAGCATGGCAAAATAATGTATTAAATAGCTTTTTGGCTTTTGAATAAACTATATTCTCTTTTTCAGCCTGACTTAAAGAAGATAACACATCTGAAACGTCCTGGTGTTGCCAGTGGTCTCACAAGAAAGACTACTTTGTCATCTTCATCATCAGTTTCCAGCAGGAACTCAAGTCTGAATTCAAGTTTACTCATTTCTCCCACAGGAAAAAACGGTAATCACTCTTACTACAGATTTGTGCCACAAATCAATTTTGAAGTAGCTAAGCACGTCTTGGACTGTGGGTTTGGATATGTTTTCATGATGTCCAGTACATACAAAGCAGTAAGAAATATTTTGAATAGAGAATAAAATTTTGTAGGCTAGCCCAATAAATCCCTGTGGAGCAAAGATAAATCTTAGACTTCTATTGTTTGTAAAAACCAGATTCATGTGAGCCTGATGCCTACATGTGAGGGTTTGATACAGCTGCAAAGCAAGCAATGCCTCAGGAAACATGTTCTTTTTGTACATGATATTCTCTATTATAGCTGAGTACCTGAGCTTCTGAGTGCTGTAAGTTTGTCTAACCTGAATTTAAAACAAACAAACCCTAAAACCAAACACCACCAAAACAACTGAAATACAGAAGGAACGTAGAAGGCCTAGTTCTGAGTTTCTGTAAGTCTAATAAAAGGATGAGCTTTACTCAAGCAGATGGAAAAAAAAAGAACAAAAAAAACCCAAAAACAAAACAAAAAACCCACACAAACAAAGAAACCCCACCAAACTCTGGGGAGATAATGGAATACAACCAAGAGACTTATAGTATAAGGAGGACATCAACTTGACCCTTTCAGTAAGCCTCAAAGGATCAGGAAAATAGTCTCCTAAAAATACTGACGGATTCTTACACCACAGTTCTTGTACCTCTAGCAAGATACCAAGTTACTGCAATTTTTTTTTTTGTGCTTTGTTTCTGAATGGATAATAATATGTCAGTAAAAGTTAAAGCTTAGTAAGAATTATTTTATACAATAAAATTGTCTAGTCAAGATTGATCCTGTTAATGAAAGTACCCTACAGACTAAAAGTAAGAACCATACAGAAAACTGAGAAAAGCACTTGTGGGGTAGTTCAGCCTCTGGTGTTAATCAGCAAAACTTGAACTATTACCTTCTTGAAAGCCTGCTTGAGGGAACAGACCCAGCTATGCTGAGAGAAGATGTAACAAATCTGCAAGCTGTTTAGGCATTCCTTGAAGAATGTTCTTTGAGTTGAGTGCAATAACTCAGGAATTTTGTGAGGAAACTTGCTAAAACAGACAAAATTGAAGAATTCAGGGAGTAATTTTTCAGTAGTTGTATGTGCTCTCCTTAAACTTGAGATGTTTGAACATAAATTTAAATGCTGTAAATTGCTGTTTTTGTTTCCCATGTGAGTGAATTATTCTGCTTAGTCAAAAACTTAGCAATAAGCGATGATTCAGAAGTATAACAACTTTCTATTTCAGGAAAATCAAGTGTGTCTGCAAGAGCTAGTGTGAGTGGCTCTAAGCTTTCATCTAGTACAAACAGGCCGGCCCTTGTCAGACCTACCAGAGTGTCATCTCTGCAGGTTGCCAATACTGAGAAATCCAGGAAGCAAGCAACATCAGCTAGTACTCCCAAAATGTCTAATGCTGTAAGCTTGGCTAAATCCTCAGCTTCTGCAACATCATCTGAGGCTGTAGGCACTGGAATTCAGAGGCTGGGCTCTGATCCCAGTCTGCAGAAGCTATGTCAGCAGAATAAAGATGGAAGTGCAACAAAAGGAAGCCTGTGTCCAAAGCCCAAGTCTAGAGCTTTGTCCGTTCCTACAAGTCAAACTAAGGTTCCAGTGAAGATTGGAGGTAAGCACGTACTTTGCATGACCTGTCTTCTACCTTGGCTACTAAAAGGAAATACTACCTCCAGTGCTTGTTATTTGTTTCATTACACTTCTGTCCACGTTGTGGAAGGAATTAGTATTTTGACTGAAAGCTATCTGTTACAAAAAAATAAATATGACTATCAATATCAATTAACAAAACTTTTCTCCTTAGATACCCCATCAACCAAATCAGCACCAAAAGCAACACCGTCTCTTGGACTAGCATTTTGTGGCACACTTGGAAGGTAGGGCTTAACTGAAAATTGAATGTATTGATGTACTGAGGTATTCTTCTGGTAGGGTGTTGTAACAGTCTTTAAAAGTTCTAACTTTCTTGCCTAGTCCCTTGAGACCCTCCAGGTTAGCTGTGTTAATGACTATTGGAAATTATTTTTAAAAAACCAAACCAAAATCAAACAAAAAAAATATCAAACAACAAAACTAAACCAAACACCGCCCTGCAATGCTCTCTTCAGAAGAAGAAGGTTTTCTTTTGCAGGCCTAAATAGACTAGACACATTCAGAAAGGAATTCTTCTGAAGTAAAGCCCTTACTATGCTGTGATTATCAACTTTATGATGATTACTGTTCCTTTACTGACCAAAGGAAAACTGATTTCTATTCTTTGGTAGAATCATAGAATGGTCAGGGTTGGAAGGGACCTCAAAGATCATCTAGTTCCAACCCCCTGCCATAGGCAGGGACCCCCTCCACTATACCAGCTTGCTCAAAGCCTCATCCAACCTGGTCTTGAACACTTCCAGGGATGGGGCAGACACAACTTCTCTGGGCAACCTGGTCCACTGCCTCACCACCCTCAGAGTGAAGAATTTCTTCCTTATATCTAATCTATATCTACCCTCTTTCAGTTTAAATCCATTACCCCTTGTCCTATCACTACACGCCTTTGTAAAAAGTCCCTCTCCAGCTTTCCTGTAGGCCCCCTTTAAGTACTGGAAGGCTGCAATAAGATCACCCCGGAGCCTTCTCTTCTCCAGGCTGAACAGCCCCAACTCTCTCAGCCTGTATTCATAGGAGAGGTGCTCCAGCTCTCAGATCATCTTCATGGCCCTCCTCTGGACTTGCTCCAGCAGCTCCATGTCCTTGTGTTGGGGACTCCAGAGCTGAATGCAGTATTCCAGGTGGGGTCTCACGAGAGTGGAGTAGAGGGGCAGAATCACCTCCCTCAACCTGCTGGCCACGCTTCTTTTGCTGCAGCCCAGGATACAGCTGGCTTTCTGGGCACATTGCTGGCTTACGTTGAGCTTCTCATCCACCAGCACTCCCAAGTCCTTTTCCTCAGGGCTGCTCTCAGTCCATTCTCTACCCAGCTTGTACTTGTGCTTGGGATTGCCCCGACCCACGTGCAGGACCTTGCATTTGGCCTTGTTGAACTTCATGAGGTTCTCACAGGCCCACCTCTCCAGCCTGTCAAGGTCCCTCTGGATGGCATCCCTTCCCTCCAGCGTGTCCACAACACCACACAGCTTGGTGTTGTCAGCAAACTTGCTGAGGGTACACTCGATCCCACTGTCCATGTTGCCAACAAAGATGTTAAACAGCACTGGCCCCAGTACTGACCCCTGAGGAACACCACTCGTCACTGGCCTCCACTTGGACATTGCATGATTGACCGTGACTCTGAGTGCGACCATCCAGCCAATTCCTTGTCCACTGAGTGGTCCATCCGTCAAATCCATGTCTTTCCAGTTTAGACACAAGGGTGTCGTGTGGGACAGTGTCAAATGCTTTGGACAAGTCCAGGTAGATGATGTCAGTTGCTCTTTCCTTATCCATCAATGCTGTAACCTCATCATACAGGGTCACCAAATTAGTCAGGCAGGATTTGCCCTTAGTGAAGCCATGTTGGCTGTCACCAATCACCTCCTTATTTTCTATATGCCTTAGCATAGTCGCCAGGAGGATCTGCTCCATGATCTTGCCGGGCACAGAGGTGAGACTGACTGGCCTGTAGTTCCCTGGGTCTTCTTTTTTCCCCTTTTTAAAAATGGGGGCTATGTTTCCCCATTTCCCCTTTTCCAGTCAGTGGGAACTTCACCAGACTGCCACGACTTATGAAATATGATGGATAGTGGCTCAGCAACTTCATCTGCCAGTTCCCTCAGGACCCGCAGATGCACCTCATCAGGTCCCATGGACTTGTCCACCTTCAGGTTCTTTAGATGGTCTCGAACCTGGTCTTTTCCTACAGTGAGTGGTTCTTCATTCTCCCAGTCCCTGCCTTTGCTTTCTGTGACTTGGGCTGTGCAGCTGGAGCTCTTGCCAGTGAAGACTGAGGCAAAGAAGTCATTGAGAACCTCAGCCTTTTCCATATCCCGGGTAGCCAGGTCTGATTCCTTCCGGAGAGGGCCTACGTTTTCCCTAGATCTCTTTTTATCACTGACATATCTATAGAAGCCTTTCTTGTTGCCCTTGATGTCCCTGACCAGATTTAACTCTATCAGGGCTTTGGCTTTCCTAACCTGATCTCTGGTTGCTTGGACAGTTTCTCTGTATTCTTCCCAGGCTACCTGTCCTCGCTTCCACCCTCTGTAGGCCTTCTTTTTGTGTCTGAGTTGGTCCAGGAGCTCCTAGTTCATCCATGCAGGCCTCCTGGTGTTCCTACCTGACTTCCTCTTTGTTGGGATGCACCACTCCTGAGCTTGGAGGAGGTGATCCTTGCATATTATCCAGCTTTCTTGGGCCCCTCTTCCCTCCAGGGCTTCATCCCATTGTACTCTACCAAGGAGATCCCTGAAGGATAATAGTTTGAATAAAACTGTTTCAAGAAGCTTTTGCCTAATGCATGTTCCCGCTTTAGTGCCATGGCAGTCAGCACTCCTGTGAGAGCCTCAGAAGAAGGGATCTTTCAGAATACTTGTTTTCCTGAGAGGTCTGTCTCCATGACTCCTGCCAGTCTGAAACGGTCTGGCATACCTACACCTCTTCGTCGTATCTCAGGATTTCCAGCAGTGACTCCTAAAACTGCACCAAGAATGGCCTTTTCTCCATATGTTGCACCTGTTCGCCGAAGTTCCAGCTTTTCTACCAAAAAGACTCTTACAGCTGGGTAAGACAGAAACCTCCATATTTGAAATGAGTACTGGAAGCAAACTGCCTCTAAACAAATTTGAATGATGATTTCCAGGTTTCAAGGACCTCTGCTAAAATTAAAAATAAAGCATTTGAGCATAGATTCTATACAGGCCTGATAAAGATTTATGACTAGTAAAATACTATGCCTGACTGAGATGACTCAATACCTAACATTAAGGAATTATAATCTCTAATAGGAAGCCGTTTGTATTTTTTGAGCTAGCAGACAGCACTCGGGGATGCTCTGAAAACCGATTTGGCGTTGGCGTTATTTTGCTGTTGCCTTCTGATGAAGGGAAGTAGCTAGTTAAAATACATACTACTCTTAACTTTGTTTTATACTGTTGCCAATGCTTCTGTAAAATAGATACTTTTGGATGAAAATATGGAAAGCATTTTGTTAAAACTCAGGATAAAAAAAGGAGGAAAAGAGGTTAGGGCATCTGCTTGTCTGTCTTTAGTAGTTAATGCTGATTAAAGAGCTCAGTTATTGCCAATGCTCTCTTCCCTAGTTCTAAACAGACAAAAGAGAGTAAGACACAGATATCTTCTTCAGAAGATGACATATCACCTCCACCTGTGCTACCTCTTGCGCTTAACTTCTCACCAGAAAAAAATGATACAGAAGCAGTAGAAAACGAATTAAAAGAGGCTGAAGTACAAAATCAGCTGGCTGAAGAGAAACAAACTGAGGTAAGAAATGACAATACTTTTTTTCTACAGAACTGTTAAGTAAACTGCTTGAAAATACATTATTTCAAGATGAGGGATAAGTAGGAAAGCCAGTACACAGTTAAAATGGATTACCTCTAAGCATGTGCACCCTCTAGTGCCTATTTTTAGCACTGAACATCCATTCATTGTTTCCACTAAGTTTGTTCCCATCTCAAAGCTGAACAGTCAAATACTTGTGGATTTCATATTAAATTTCCGCTTGTGGGTAAGTGCTGTGAAATCCTCGTGGATTTGATGAGAAAAGCACTGTGAAAGAGCAGTTTGTATTGCAGCCATAAAGCCTTTTTGAAAAAAAAAAAAATGCACTGCCGTAGTTAAATTCACTCACCTAACAGCAGTGCAAATCTACATACAATGAGTTGAGGGTTAAACCCCAAAGCCCATGTAGCAGTACACGTAGTTAAGTGTCAGGTACTTAGTCCAGTGAACACTTTTCCCCTCTGCCAGGAATCTTCTGGCTTCACGTTGAAAGCTGACACTCCACAAGCATTAAGGAGAAACAACTAAACTGGTAGCCTGTCAAAGTGGCTATTGATTTACAAATATTCAGGTGTAGAATAATCTGTAGATTAATTACTTGATCTTATCGCATTGGTATCTTCCTTGTTAGCTTACTTGACACAAAGTATCTGTTATAGATTTGCTTAGCCTGTGTGTGGAGTAGTTAAACTGGACAAACACAGAACTAAAGTTTGGAGCTCTACAGAATAGTTTATATGGCTAAATAACATTGCACAATAACTGTAGTCAAGTCATTTAAATATTAAGAGAGTTATTACTCTGTTTTAAATTTGACTTAACTCTGCTTTTAAGTGAAAATTTGTTTTATGCCCCAAGGAGCTCTTTTGTTTTGTCTCACTGCATTTTCCCTGTTTGTGATGCTAGCCATTGGCAGAGCAAGAGCTGAGGTTTTTACACTATGTGCAAACAATCCTGCATGAAAAATACCCAACCCATACATTAAGCCTGTCCTGTGATTGTTGCAGCTGTATAAGCTAAATTGACTGCCTAAATGTTTATGAAGGAAGTATGGAGAACAGAGGGGAAAACCTGAATCATCTTTTTTTTTTCTTTAAGGCCTTACTAGTAGATATTGGAGTAGACAAATCTCTCTCACACACTTTAGAATGTGAAAGTAGACCTCTGATTGATCTTTCCAATACTCCTGAAGTAAATAAGATTACTTCCCTAAAGCCTACGTTCTCAGAGCAGGTAAAGGTAAGTTATATTCAAGTCTTCTGGTGCAAATATGCTAGCAGAAAAATGTCAACTGGCTGCATGTCTACAGAGCAGCTCCACGCTACTGTAAGAATTATTTAATATTAGCCTAGTATGCTCAATATGATACTACATAATGAGGTGCTCTTAAATAAAGAAAACATAATGTTTAAAATCAAACAATGTGCTCTGAACTAAAGCTCTGAACAATCTGCACATAGAAAAAGGAAGAGGATGGGGAAAGAACTTAATGCTTAAAGCACTTGTTAAAGAATTAAACTGTTCTGAAGCAGGAAAGTGAATGCTCTCTTCAGTAGAGTAGGTGTGCTGTTTTCCTTTTCTTGCAAAGTTTCAGTTCTTGGCAGCAGCTCTTTTTCACCAAAAAAGCAAGGCCGTCTCTCCTGTTTAACTCCTCCTAATCCCCTCCGTAGTAGAAATGTGTGTTGGAATGTACTCTAAATTTGACAAGCATTTCTGGGCAAGTGGGTTTTTTGTACACTAGTGCCTCGAAGGTAGATGCCTTTAGATATTGTCAGGTGAATAGTGGTAACTATAAGGATATAGTCTTCGACATTAGATGTAGCTGGGATCAATTTAATATCAGGTCCTTCAAAGTATCTCAAAAGAGGATCACAGAAGTCTGACTTATGGGGGCATGTCCAGAGGAGTGCTCTGCCCTGCCTGGATGGCAGTGTCACTTGAATATGCATAGTAGTGAAATTTAGAAAAGCCTTTTAGGCTTTTAAGGTGAGTATGGGCAATAACCACCTTGTGAGAAGCTTGTGCTTGTCTAAGAGGCAGGTAGCTGTTTAAAAACCCAAACCTAAAAGCTCGAGTGTGGTGCTCGTATCTTTCTTCTGGGTACTAATAGGAATGCTATACAAAAAAATAGTACTTAAGACTGTTAGAGATTATCACTGCTAGTAGTTATGTAAAACAGCTGACTACAATAGCTAAATTTTATTGTTTTTCTTTCAGCTAATTGATTTGAGTTCGCCTCTTATCACTCTGAGTCCTGATGTAAACAAAGAAAATCTGGATTCCCCTCTACTCAAGTTCTGAACTTGAGTTGACATGAAGAATTCTTGGCATCTGTGATCTTTAAAGAGTTTAGGTGTTATTCTTCACTCATACAGTTTTTTTTGAAGATGGCTGTAGATTATATGAGGAACTGCATTAGCACAATAGAATTTTAATGATCTTAATATAGTCAAACCGAGTCTAATTAATGGTTCTGTTCATGGATTTGCTACAATGGATTTATTTAAACTGTGTTGCTCTAAGGCAAAAAGGGATATTCTCTATATTGGAAGCCTGTCTCTTTTTATTTCCTAACGCTTGTCCTTTGATTCCTTATCTCCTGCATGTAACAAAGATTTAATTTAAAATAAATGAATTGTTTACCGAACTTGTACAGAATAGTAGCCTTTTATTACAGGCTTTGTTTAGGTTATTTTAGTGTTTCACTAATGAATGTTAAGATGTAGGTAAAGCTAGAGGACTTCAGGGTGGCTTTTCATACTGAAGTGTAGCAAGTTTGGAAATAAACATTTTACTGTTGAATGCTAATGGAATACGCTAACAGCAACACCTGAATTTGTGTGATTTGAAGGAGAAAGCAACATCTTGTTACGGCCAGGTGGTTTAGTCTTGACATTTGAAGGTTAGACTTGAACTTTCCCACTCTCAAAGAATAGAAAAATGTGTTCTTGCCTTTATTTGCCACACTTGCATAATACATGGAGACTTGAAATATGGTGAATGGAAATGAAAATGCACACAGTAGTAGCCCATAAATGTTGAAGCAACGAGCCTGTCTTGGAGAGTAGAGACTTCGGGCATTTAGGAACTAGCTTAATGTATTTATGAAAGCTTATTGAGAGATGGAAATGGATTTGCAGCTGTTTGTATTACTTCAAACAGTGGTGGAAGTTGGACACTCTGTTTAAGTAGGAAGAAGTGTTTAGATGAGTTTGCAAAACATTTTGATGGTGAATGAGGCTGCTGCCTTGGCTTTATCTGAAGGCACTTGCCTACTTCTCAGGACAGCTGCCTTTCCTGTGGATACTGCTGTGTCAGACCCTGTTCTGAATGAAGGCCTTTGGCCGGATTATGAAGACTCTTCTGAGTCAGAGGAAAGAACCGTGCTACCTGCTTCTGGCAAATATGAACCATAAAAATGTGGAATTTGTATACTGTCTTTGCACGTTCCTGTTTTCCTTCTGTGAAAAGCAAGAGGGCTTCTTCAACTGAAGCGTTTACTAAAACTTTTATTTGAGCCAGTGCTGTGCAGTTAAAAGCAATGCTCAAACCAGATCCTCAACTAGTCTTTAAATGGAGAGAATGCATATTGCTAAGTAGAAACAGAGGGTGATTTTTTTTTTTTTAAATATATCACTTTTCTTATGAGTGATATATTTGTGATTTCTTTTAAAACAAAGGGGTTTATGCCCTGTACTTCAATCAAGGACTTGCAGGAGAGCCAAGTGTTCTGTGCCCCTTGAGAACTATGGTTTGCATGAATGTTATGCTTTTGCAGGCAGTGGATCTAAATCCTGGTTTCCAGCATGACCGTGACAGGTTAGAAACAAGCAGGAGTCAACTGCCAGTTGAAACACCTAGATGTATGATCCCAAAGCAGGCACCTGGCCAGCTCAATACTTCTGTGACTCACCACCACATACAATCACTGTATGGATTAGTGTAACTATTCACGGGAGTTCAGGCGCAGCTCAGTGCGGCTCCAACTCAGAGCCAAATGCCAGCTTTCAAGGTGCGAGTCAGTTGCTCAAACACCCAGAGATGGTTAGCATGGTTAGCCTGGGGTGTGCCATCTCCCCTGCGCAGCCCCTGCCCCACGCCTCCTCCACTGCCTCGCACCCCGCTCCGCGGCTGGGAGCGGTCGGGCCGGCTGCGCGGCATGGAATTCAGGAGTGAAGGGGGGGGAAATCCCGAGAGTAGTCCCTGCTACGTGCCTTTATAAGCCAGCAGGTGCTAAACGCAACCGATCCCCCGACTTGGGGTGTTTCGTTAAGAAACGGCGCCGCCGGA